ACTGGGTGACGGCCTTGTTTTATGACTCTAATGCGGTCGCGGGCTTTTCTATCGGTGAGGGGGTCCTCAAAGCGGTGGCATAAGGCCGTCATGAAGCGATCAAGGTTCCTTAATTCTGGGGCGTTGACGTTGTGGAGCATCACCATCCATCTGGCTGCTGCCCCTTCAAGGGCCAGGGTGACAAGTCATACTTGGGACCCCTGGGTTGGGAAATCCCACCCATATTCTTGCATGTAGGTGAGCACTTGCACCAGGAAAAATCCCAGTTTCTGGGGGTCTCCATCGAATTTTACCCCCAAGGGTGGACCTTCCTCTGCATTTGTATGTCTCTGGGTTGGCCAGGGTTAATCCCTTGATCCGGGGCATTTAGGGGTTGGGTACCTGGTATGGCTGCTGGTTCTTCGGCTTGTCCCTCTGCCCGCTCAATCTCCACTGGATCTGGGGTGGCGGCTCAGATTCTCTCATTTTCTGGTTCCCTCACTCTCCTGCGTTGTCGTCCTGGTGCATCCCTCACGCTGAGGTTCTCCAGGGATTCCCTCACGAGGCAATTTATGTACCGTCTCATTTGGTCGTCGGCCGGTGGCTCCTCGTCCCATTCTTCCTGATTCGATAGGGCCTCCAGCTCCAATTTCCACCCAGGTTTACGATTGCCCCAGGTGAAGGTTACTCCTCTGGTTCTTCCGTCCCAGCTGTCTCTTTTTCCTACACCTATAGACCACCGGGGCTTGGTGAAGGTTTTGTAGGCAGCCTCGCTATCTTTGATGGGGTGCACCGAGTCAGTATCTGGTTGGCGTTTCTCCCCAGCATTCGGCTTCCCCTTGGTCCTTGCTTTACTCAGACATTTTCCTTTCTTGCAGGGTCCCCTCAGCAGAGTTAAGGGGTTTGTTTTTTGTTTTTTGTTTAATTTCCTCTCCGGGCTGACCTCTATTGCAGACACTGCTTTATGTCAGGCTACAGAACTTTTCCCATTCACTCAACTAGAATGAACTTCTGAAAACGTATAAAAATGTATCAAAAAGGAATCCTTTATTGAGGTGAGACAATTCATGTAGGAGTTCAAAGCAGCGTCTGAGGTTTCTCAGGCATACAGGGATACATAAGGGAGTTTAGAACTCCCCCCCTTATCTCGATGTGTATTTAGTGAAACAAAAGCCAGTATGTTAATTCCTCCCCACCCCTTTTGTAAGGAGGGCCATCTGGCTTTTCTCCCTCCATTGGGGAAAGAATGGTGGGTAGGGGAAAACGGAACAGGGTTGCACCCTTTCCCAGTTGCAATCCGGATTAAGGAGTCTCCTGCACCCACCCATCCAATCAGTCTGGGGTCTGGGACAACACCACCTCACCCCCAGCAGCCTTCTGTAGGTTGGCAAGGGCATGCGTGCATGGAGGTGGAATTGGGGTTAGGAGGCATGGGTGGGTGGGGGGAATGGCTTGCACCCTTTCCCTGCCACTCCACTCGGACTTGCTTGGGCAGGTCCCTTCGGTGCAGCAGGCTCAATGGGGTGGACCTGCAAGGACGGCACCTAGAACACGGCAGTGGCGGCACATTTGAAAAGTAGAGCAAAGCCAGAGGTCGGTAATTTTTGTTGCAAAGAATCAGAAAAGCTTCTGGACTGTGCACAAGAAGGGACACACATGTCAATGCAATTCAGCAACATAAAATAAAGAAATACAAATAAAACAAATCAACAAGAATCAGCAAAGCATCTCTGATTAGATTCTATTCACTACTAGCTAAAAATTTTAAGAATTAGAGCTGCGAGGAGGCAAGGGGCACTCATCTCTGTTTCCCTCTAGGATCGGCCTTGGAAACACCTGCCCTCACAATAAGACTACCTTTCTTCCACTGCTTGTGCAGGGAACCCAGGAGCGGCAGCATATTGCATGCTTTTCACTCCAAGCAGTCTGGGCTGGAAAACACATGGCTGGGGTGGATCCTTATCCCCACCAAAATTGGACTCCCTTTCTTCCAGTGCTACTGCAGGGAACCCAGGCTTGGAGGAGCAACAACGGTTTGAGGCTTGTTAAGGAGGACCACTCCGGGCTACAACACAAGGCAAGCGTGGGAACCAGAGAGCAGCAGCAGCTATGTCACGGGTGTGACTCTAGGCAGGCAGCCTAGGCAGGTGAGGTGAAATAAGGAGTGACTGGGAGAAGAGGGAAGGGGTGGGTGGATTGGGCAGGGCCAGACAGTGGTGCAATTAGCCAGTTCTCCAAACTGCGCAAAAATTTAACTGGTTCACTCGAATCAATCTGAACTGACTGAATCCCACCTCTGTCAATGAGTAGCCTTAATGGTACTATGTTTACATGGAGGAGTATAAGCAGTGGAGTACCACAAGGTTCCATCTTGGTCCCAGTACTCTTCACTATCTTCATAAATAACTTAGATGAAGGGGAACTTATCAAATTTGCAGATGATACTCAGAATGCAGAAATAGCAAACACCCTAGGTGATAGGGTCCAGATCCAGATGAACCTGAACACTGAGCTCTATCTAACAAAATGAAATTCAATGTAAAGAAAGGTAAAGTCTTACACTTAGGCAAGTAAAACCAAAAGTACATGTACAATTTAGGTGAAACATGGCTTAATAGAAGTAACTGTGAGAGGGATCTTTGAGTCCTAGTGGACAATCAACTAAATATGAACCAACAGAGTGCTGCAGCTGCCAAAAAAGCCAATGCAATCCTAGACTGCATTAACAGAGGGACTGAATCAGGATCACATGAGGTACTAGTACTGCTCTATAAAGCCTTTGTAAGGCCACTTGTAGAATACTGCATCCAGTTTGGGTCACCACACTATGAAAAACATGTTGAGATTCTCAAAAGAAGAATCTCAGAGAAGAACAACAAAGATGATTACGTGCCTGGAGGCTAAAACATATGAAAAATGGTTGTAAGAACTAGGCATGGCTAGTCTAGTGAAGAAAAGGACCAGAGGAGACGTGATAGTAGTGTTCCAATATTTGAGGAGCTGCCACAGAGAGGAGGGGGTCAAGCTATTTTCCAAGGCCTTGGAAAGGTCAGACAAGGAATAATGGATGGAAGCTGATCAAGGAGAGATTCCATGTAGAAGACAAGGAGAAATTTTCTGACAGTAAGAACAATCAACCAATAGAACAGCCTTCAGGCATTGTGGGAGTTTCATCACTGGAAGCTTTCAAGAAAAGATTGGATTGCCATTTGTCAGAAATGGTGCAGGGTCTCTTGCTTGGGTGGAGGATTGGACTAGATGACCTACAAAATCCCTTCCAATTCTGTTAATCTGTAATATCTTTCAAAAATCTGTTGGCACTGGGGAACCACCTGAGGGTTGGAAAAAAATCAGATAGGTTTTTTTTAATAACAGTGTTCCAATATTTGAGGGGCTGTCATAGAGAGGAGGGGGACAACCTATTTTCCAAAGCACCGAAAGACCAGGAAAGGAACAATGGATGGAAACTGACAAATTCAACCCAGAAATAAGTAGAATTTTTTTGACAGTAAGAACAATCAACCAGCTTGTTCTTAGAAGTTAATCTCTGGTGGCTTTCAAGAAGAGACTTGGATTGTCACTTGCCAGAAATGGTTTAGGGCAGTAGTGGCTAACCTTTTTTGTCTCCTGTGCCAGCACCCAGTAGGCAAAGTGCACACACCCCTTGCCCCCTGTGCATGTGCGCACAATCCCCCTGTGTATCCCGCGCATCTCTGTGCATGTGTACGCATCTCCCGCGCCCCTCCCGCCCCTTGCGCGCCAGATACCCAACAATCAGTTGTTGGGCAGGCAGTGCACAGGCATGCGCAGTGGGGCTCTTCCAGGTGACCTCTCGCATGCCGGCAGAAGTGGCTCTGCGTGCCATAGGTTTGCCATCACGGGTGTAGGGTCTTCTGCTTAAGTAGGGGGTTAAACTAGAAGACTTACAAGGTCCCTTTCAACTCTCTTATTCTGTTATTCATTCTCTCCTGTGTATTTTGCATATTTGAATGATTATTTTTATTTTTATTAATGATTGCTTTAGATATTTATTGTTTGATTGTAGGAATTAGGTATGGCTGGTGAAAAGAAGGGCTAGGGGAGACATGATAGAATGGTTCCAATATTTGAGGGACTCTTACAAAGACAGGGGGGGGGGGGTCAACCTATTTTCCAAAGCACCAGAAGGCAAGACAAGAAGCAATGGGTGGAAACTAATCAAGGAGAGAAACAACCTAGAACTAAAGAAAATAATCCTGACAATGAGAACAATCAACCAGTGAAACGGCTTGCCTTCAGAAGTTGGGAGTACTCCATCACTGGAGTTTTTAAAGAAGAGATTGGACAGCCATTTTGTCCAGAATGCTATAGGGCAGTGATGGCTAACCTTTTTGTCATCATGTGCTGAAAGTGTGCGCATACGCATGTAATAGCACACATGTGTGCCTGTACCCACATAATGCAATGTGCACACGACCCCTCCTGCTCGCCCCACCTGCTTGTGCATGCACACGTGACCCCCCCATACTCCACCCCCCCACCCCGTGCATGTACGCGTAACCCCCGCGCTCCCTGTTTTGAGCCTAGTAAGACTCCCTGCAGCCTCCTAGGAGCAAAAACGGGTCGCACAACCCCCGCACCCTATCTTTGCTCCTGGAGGCTGCAAGGGGGCCTACTAGGCTCACAACGGGGAACGTGGGGGGCTGCACCGCACCCTCCCTGTGCCCCCTGCCCCCACGCATGCGCATGTATCTCCCGCATGTGCCCCGCCCTGCGCATGCATGGCATAACTTGAAAATCAGCTGACGAGTAGGAGGCACGTGCATGTGCGCAGGCGCAGTGGAACTGAGCTGGGGTGACAGCATGGCTCTGCATGCCATAGGTTCTCCATCATAGGTATAGGGTCTCTGCTTAAGTAGGGGGTTGGACTAGAAGACCAAGGTACCTTCCAATTCCTGTTCTGTTCTGTTCTAAAATGCTCCCTTCTCCCACTGCAGCCCACCCACCCTCAGCCTTTATAAAACGTTTGTGAGTATCCTTACCCACTGGATATTTGCCATAAAGTTTGTTTGTTCTGATGAGACAAATGTTTGGAGGTTTCCACCATAAACATGCAAAAGGCTCCTACAACAGTTATTGGGAAGGTTTTCTTCAGTAAGCTCAAAGCCTTCTTTAGCAGTTTTTTTGCAGAAGTAATTTGACCCATATTGTAACAGACCTATAGACATGCAGACAGATAATAATAAAAGAAATTATGATTTTTTTTGTATATCTCCTTTATGATGCCTAAAAATGTGTGAAGACCTCTCCTCATAAAATCACGATCTTGCAGCATGGCTAAATCTACTTAAAACCAGTGGTGGGATTCAAAAAATTTTACTACCAGTTTTGTGGGCATGGCTTGATGGGGAAGGATACTGTAAAATCTCCAATCAGAGGTGGTATTTGCTGGTTCTCCGAACTACTCAAAATTTCTGCCACTGGTTCTCCGGAACTGGTCAGAACCTGCTGAATACCACCTCTGCTTAAAACACAAGAATATATATTTAAATCAGCCAAGAAAAAATAATGAGACTTCTTTTGTACTAAACACTTCTATGAAATTATTTTTGTATCTTTATATAGCATAGAAGCAGAAGACACAGCACTTTGTAGGGTCTTCTACCTGCTTCCTATGTATCTTCTCTGTTTTCATGGGTGCCCCAGAGATGGGGGAAGGAGCACAGGGAGATAAAGGATATGTCAGAATTATATCAAGAAGCCTTGTAAAAAACCAGCAAGATCAAGGGGTGTGTCATACCTGACAAATCAATGAACTAATTGTGAAAAGCTTCTGAGGACATTTCTCTAATAAATCTAAATGTAGGGAGAGGCTTACTGATCATTACAAGTAGCAATGGAAGAATTTCTGTTACAGCAAGTGGCATGAAGGGAGACCATATAATAAAATGACAACTGAAGTAATACTGTACTTCTGACTGAGCAGCTGTAGAGAATGGGATATTCTAGTGGGCTTTACTGTATTCAGAGAAGAGGTAAATGGCTATAGCCATACACAATTGTCTTACCTCTCCCTTCAGGCTGTACAAAATGGACACCTCAAATTGGTTAATGAGTTTATGCTTGAATTCCGAAGATCTCAAGAGGTTCTCTGCTGTATTCAGATATGTAAAGGCCTCAAATAAGAATAACAGAACAGGAAAAATTCATTTCTGCATGATATATGGTGATCCCCAACTACTATCAATTCCCTCACCATATGTTATAAATTTTCAAAAACAAATACTCAGATACCATAGAGGAGGTGAATCCAGGATGAAGACGTAGCATGTATTCACCATCTAGAATCTATTCACCATATAGAAAAAGATAACCTGGTAAACCAGTTCAGTTTTTTTACAGAGGGGGAAGTGATTTGGGTCTTTGTTATTTTGGCAAGGCCCAACAACTTGCCAGGTTTAACAGTATTTTGGTTAGCCATACCCACCCAGACAGAAAAGAGAGAACAAGCTTACTTTAAATATAAAAGTGGGGAACTAAATATGCTGATTTGCCAAGTGGCATGTTCCCCTAGCACTAAAATTTAGCATAATAAAAGCTTGACATATCATTCATTAGCTGTCAGCATGCTAGATTGACTCATACTCTTGCAGTCTGTTACAATTTTTTGAACATTCTCCAATCTTTTTTTTACAAAGGTTTTGGCAAGGAAAATGAATTTGGAGCATTTCATTTTTTCTTGTAATTTTTCTATTAAACTCCTGTTTGGATTTGAACAGTGCTGTAACTGCTTTTCAGCTACATGGAAAAGGTTACTTTAATCTGTAAACAGGTCATTTATATTCATAGAGAAACAGTTGGGTATAGTGACTGAAGACATCAGACCCCGTCTTAGGCACAAGTTGGGTAAACTTGTCTCAGTCATTTCTCCCAGCCCTAGGAAGGAAACAATGAAGAATTGCTTCTGAAAATCACTGCCAAGAAAACTTCCTGGACTAATCCAGGCAATTGCCAGGAGTCAAGATTGACTGGAAGGCCAGATACATCATGTGCAGGCTCACCCAGCTCCACGAATGGGAAAAACATTATGAACATCACCTGATAGCAACGTGATGCTGTGAGTTTGACATCCATGATCTAGAGTATCCTTTGCTGTAGGAGTAATGAAGAAGCTGGTTGGAAGAGAAAAGAATGGGTGTTCCTACTTACCATGTAGTTGTGGGAGTGGTTGACATAAGCAGATGCAGATTCCAACAGGTAATAAAAAGCCCGACTATAATCCCCTAGAGCCAAGTAGTGCTGAGATAAAGGCACAGTGACAGACTCCACAATTTCTTTGCATTCACAGTCCTGGGAGCCAGGGGTCTCGGTCCTTTTCTTGCTCATGCCAGTAAGCAAGATTATTTCATCCATTCTTTTTAAAAATTCTAGTTCTGAATTTTCAGCTCTACCAAAAATAAAGAAGAAAGAATTTTCCATAAGCTCCCACAGCAACTTTAATCTCTAACATACCTCATCAACACAGAAACAGAAGGATACTGAAGCCCAACAATCTTCAAAGTTTTTAATTACTATGTGATACCAGGTCAGGTATAATAAGAAAAAACAATGAACTCAGATCAGAAAGAGCCAAACTGAAATCCCTATTTGGCAATGAAGTTTGGTGGGTCATCTGGAACCAACATTTCAAAAGCAAATTCATGTGAGGTAGCAATCTAATTAATTCATATATCTACCTTATTAAAATCTAAAAGAAAGGATTTTTTTCTTTTAGAACAAAACTTGTACCTAAACTCAGTTTGGTTCCTTGATGCACTTCCATCACCCATCCCCGCAAAAAAGGAAAGAAAAGAAGGATAGCTGAAAAAAAGTTTTAAGGCCATCAGTCTGTGAAGTAGCACAATGTGTGCAAGCATAAATCTGGTCTGTCCCCACAGCCTTCCTCATTAACATGGAAAATTAGTAGATTCCTAAGAACTGAATGTGGGTCAGCAGTGATTGGTGGTTGTAGTTTCCCTATTCCTACCTGCCTGGCAAGTAAAACAAGTTCCAATTGTTCTATCTCACCTCACCTCAGGTTGAGGGAGGGGCAAAATCTGACAGATGAGTAGACCCTGGAGTTTGGCCATCTTTTAGATCTGCTTTATAAGGAAGCTTCCATTCATCCTGCAGACCAGGAATTGCAGCTTCCTTGCACTCATATTGTTTTTTCTCCATTTTTTCTTTTTGTTTCCCTCTCCATCTTCTGTTTTCACTCTCATTTTTCTCTCTTGTGAGCCACTCACTTTCCTTCTCTTATAATTTCTTGATCCTTTGTCCTTCTCTTGCCCCATGATTATTTTCTGCAGCTATCTCTCTCATGTTATTTCAACCCCTTGCTCATTCTTATTCACTATCTCTCTTGCTTTGCTTAAAAATAGCTGATGGAGGGTGTTGACAAATTAGAATTCCATTTAAGCTATGTCACACAAACTGCCTATCAGGCAGTTTCTTGTAAGATCTCCACTCCCATGCAGCACCCACATAATGCCTGTTTCGCAAAGTATGAATCATTACATAAGCATATAATAATTCCTGTGGTCCAAACTATGGGGAGAAAGAAGGGAAAGAGTCAAAAGCAGCCAGGAATAGTAGGGCAGATCCAAGCCTCTGCTTTGTTGTTACAGCAAAGCGTCACAAGTCATGCATTTAAGAAAACTTTTGTCCAAATAAGAAGGGAGGACACCACATTCATGCTGGATCAGAGAAATACAAAGTTATCTAACAATAGCTATGTGCTGGTATCATAAAGTCTATAAATGCTATAGAATAGCTAACAAAGCATCTTCTACCTGCACTCAGAATATGTCCAAAAAAGAAGGGTACAACAGACCCCAACCTAGATGAAAATTATAGACCAATCTCTTTATGCTGCATCACCTGTAAAGTCATGGAATCAATTATTAACCAATCCATTATCCTCCACTTAGAGACAAACAACCTACTCTCTAATAAACAATTTGGTTTCAGAAAAAAAACTATCCTGTAATCTGCAACTCTTACACTGCAAAAACATATGGACTACACAACTCGATCAGGGCAAAACAATAGACGCAATATATACGGACTTCTGTAAAGCCTTTGATTCAGTGGTACACGACAAACTACTCCTAAAACTAAAATCTTATGGTATCTCTGGACACCTGCATAACTGGATAGAAGCATTCCTGTTAAACAGACAACAAATGGTCAAAATTGGGAGCATCCTATCAAATTCTGTACCTGTCAACAGTGGTGTCCCCCAAGGCAATGTTCTAGGACCAACTCTCTTCATACTCTACATAAATGACCTCTGTGATCATCTTAAGAGCAACTGCATTCTCTTTGCTGATGATGTAAAGCTATTCAACACCACAGACAATACTGCTACCCTTCAAAAAGACCTTGACTATGTATCAGAATGGTCAAACAAATGGCAACTTCAAATCTCAACAAATAAATGCTCTGTCTTACATATTGGCAAAAAAAAATCAGAAAATAAAATACAAGAAAATAAAATACAAGTCAAGTTGATGATCCAAACTCTGTCAAGGATCTTGGAATACTCATCTCTAATGATCTAAGAGCTAGAGCCCACTGTAACTACATAGCCAAAAAGGTGTTAAAATGTTAACGTAGCTTTTTCTCTGGTAATATTACATTAATAACTAGAGCATACAAAACATTTGCTAGACCAATACTCTATTACAGCTCATCAGTCTGGAACCCACATTACGCATCTGATATTAATACAGTTGAGAAAGTCCAGAAATATTTCACAAGAGTTCTCCACTCCTCTACTCATTGCAGAATACCTTATGCCACCAGACTTGAAATTCTAGACCTAGAAAACCTAGAACTATGTCACCTTCGGTCCGATCTAAGTATTGTACATAAAATTATATATTGCAATGTCCTACCTGTCAATGAATACTTCAGCTTCAACCATAACAATACAAGAGCACACAATAGATACAAACTCAAGGTTAACTGCACCAAACTTGATTGCAGGAAATATGACTTCAGCAACAGAGTGGTCAATGTCTGGAATATTCTACCTGACTCTGTGGTTTTTTTCCCCAAACCCCAAAAACTTTAGCTTTAGTCTACTATTGACCTCACCCCTTTCCTAAGAGGTCTGTAGGGGGCATGCATAAGTGCACCAGCATGCCTACCATCCCTGTCCTATTGATTCTTTTTATTTTTCTTATATGTATCCATTTCATGTTTGTACTTATACCTATTATCTTGTAAGCGATTGACAAATCAAATAAATAAATAAATAAAATAAAACAGAAATTGGGGTGCCACAAGTTTTACAGAGGTATATAGAGAAAAGGATAAGGCCTTTAGTGGAGCATACTAATGATCTCCTGAAGCTTTGAGAAGTGTACAGACTTTTATATCATCAATACAGTGTGTTTTGATTCAGTTAGAATGTTTGTAGTAATTATCACTAGTAACTTATATCGTCTAGAATTATCTAACCATTGTTGGTTTAATAATTGTTAAAATAACAGTAATGCAGAAAAGCTTTGTGCTATTTCAAATAATTCATTCAATAATTCATTTCAGTGATGGGTGACTTTTTAAATCACTACAGTAATAGGACAATTACCTATATGCAGTCTATTAAAAAGATCTGGCTGGCTGGATGAAATATATTGTGAGAAGAGCCACTATAAATTTATCAAATATCCTCATAGTTACATATAGGAAAAGATGGAGTACTGGGACGTCACATGGTGAGTTTCATTAAACTCCATCAGAAAGGAATGATAAGCAACATGGAACTATCATTTTAGGACACATACCTTTTATTTTCAATATATCTAATTCTGCTTTATCTTCCATTTTTGGAGAAAAATAATGAGTTCAATGTAAAACTAAATTTCTTGGAAAACTATCCTTAAATAATTGGGTGTGAAATTGGTTAGAATTTTTGATACTAAATAATTCCATTCATATATAACAGTTCCTTGGAGGCTTAACAAAGTGCCCACATAGTCTCACTCCCAATATGCCAGACAGTCAGGAACATAAAAGTTACTCCCTTCACACCTAAAGGACTCTTGCAAGATGAAGGTTGACCGCAGGATATCTCCTACAGGAGAACAAAGTTGAAGAAAGGTAAATGCCTCATCCTAGAATACTGTAATATATGCTGTAGTGCAGTGGTTCCCAAACTTTTTAAGTCCACCACCCCCTTGGTGCTACAAACTCATCCTTGGTGCCCCCCACCCAGGGGTGGGATTAAAATTTCTGTGGGCATGGCCTAATTTGAGGGTGTGGCTTGCTGATCATGTGACTGGCAAACCAAATACAAGTGGTCCTCACTTAATGGCCGGTTGTTTAGCAAGTGTTCTAATTTATGACTGGCCTCCCCAGAGCTACTTGATCTGTTTTTGGAGTTTTGAAAGCTTTAGAACAGGGGTCTAAATCCCACCCCTGCCTGTGTGTGTGAGAGAGAGGGAGAGAGAGAAGTTGGATCAGACCTCTCTCTCTCTCTCTCTCTCTCCCACCAATGCCAGAAAGCCACTGTCAGTCAAAATTCATATTAGTGGTCTCCGGGATTAAAATTATGAGTTTGGTGGTCCCTGAGGTCCAAAAGTTTGGCGACCCCTGATCTAAAGGGGTGAGCCTGAGAGAGGGAAAGAGAGAGAGAAAAGAAAGAGAGGAAGAGAGGAAGAAAAGAAAGAGAAAAAGAGAGGAAGAAAAGAAAGAGAAAAGGAAAGAAAGAAAAAGGGTCAGACAAAGAAGGGGGATGGAAGGAAGGGACAGAAAGAAAAACAAATAAAGAAGGAGGGAGGGAGAGAGGGAGGAGAAAGATAATGAGATATCTATTCTAGTCCAATCACCTGCTCCAGCAGGGTTAGAAAAGAGTGTCTGTGTATGTGTGTGTGTGTGTTCTCCTTGTAATTTACCAGTACATTTTGGTTGTGGCTTCTTCAGAATTAGCACTGTAATACATTGGGGAAAAGTAATTTTTAGGGTGGAGATCTGGTCCAATGGATCCTGTTTAAAGCCTCAACAAAATGTGAGAGCTTCCTGATAGTCTTGACCATGTTTCGTCCACAAAACTTTTAATAGAAGCCAAAGAGGTTTCAATATGCTGGTAAAGATGTTTCAAAGTGGAAAAGGGCCTCAGTCTAAACTAGGCCTCATTCAATCTGATGCATCAGGTCTCTCTTTCTCTCTCTCTCTCTCTCTCCCTCCCTCCCTCCCAGACTGACTTTGTTCTACTTTCCCGATGTGCTTGCGGGGGTGGCTCTTCAAACATGGATGGATGGAGGGAGGGAGGGAGAGAGGGGGGGCAGGCAGGCAGACAGACAGACAGACAGATAGATATATAGGTAGGTAGGTAGGTGGTAGGCAGGCAGGCAGTAAGACAGACCTTGTGGATGGATGGATGGATGGATGGATAGGTAGGTAGGTAGGTAAGTAGATAGATAGATAGATAGATAGATAGATAGATAGATAGATAGATAG